AGTCAAACACTATTTAACAATTAAGAAGGATGAGGACTGAGAAGAAGCCACTGATGACCTTAGAAACTGAAAGGGTTAGAAGCCAGAATGTAGAGGCTTGAGGTGGGGAGTAAACAAGTTGTCATAGGCCAGGGCTGACCAAGACAATCTGGTACCTCCTGTTCAAGTCTGGAACAAAATGAAACACTCATAGATCTGACTCTTAACAAAAGATTTATTTAGCCACATTAGGAAGAAGATATTCCATGAAATTATTGAATGAGAACTACATATTAATTCAGCTAAGCACAGCTTCCCAGTGTGGGTCATGCTGTCAGACCTCAATGAGAAGCCTCAGGGAGAGGTTCATATTAAGTAAGGCATCTAGGAAGCCATATCAATGGCCTAAGCCTTAGTCTCATTTAGCCTGACCTATATGAGGCAGGGCCTTAAGCTGTTGCTCCCACCATATAAGTAAAATATGTAAGTACAGAATACCTTTCCAGAAATATGGCAATGAAAAGAAAAATAAAAGTTAGCTTGAGAAATTAGAGCTGGGGGGGGGGAAGGGATTTAACGGTGGGAGAGATTAAAGATGATGGAAAGAGAAAGGAAATCCTAGAGGAGAATGAAGGAGAATAGGATCAAGTGAATAGGTGAAGATTTTAACCTTGGCTAGAAGAACCACCATTTCCTTGGGCATGGGAGCGAATGCAATTCAATTGGACAACAGTTATTAAGGACCTCTGTGAAAGGCACTGTGCTATGTGGAGTAGATTTGGGGGAGGGGGACTGAGACTCCCTGATCAGATTGGGAAGTTTGCCTAAATAACCCACTAATATAATATAAAGGAGTGACCTAAACAACCTGACAATAAAGTGAGAAGGTATTCCCTAAACAACCTGATAATATAATAAGTCATTGGCCAATGGATAAAGTCAACTGAAGGCAGGACATTTCTAATGATTGGCCAAGATAAGCCATGTGGCCTAGATAAAAGACAAGGTGACCCCACTCTGAGACAGTTGAAAGGAGAGCCAGCTTTCAAGGACTCATTTGTGTATCTTGCAGAGGGAAGCAAAAGGGGAATCTCTCTCTCTTTCTCTCTTTCCCTCCCCACTCCCTATCAAAAATAGAATTCTGCAGCAAAAGCACATGATCATAGGAACATGCTTGCATACAACCTGAGAACATGAATGAGCATTTCTGAATTCATATTGTTTATAGTTCAACAGATAATAGTAGTACATATCATAAGTGGGAATTGAGGTCCTGTGAAGTCCTTACATTCAAAAATGTTGAGAACTTCTATACTAAGAACTTTCTGAGGCAATGTCAATGGGAGGATTGAGGAGGCTGTCTTCCTAGAAGTGAACCACCACCCACCCATCTCGCCAATACTTGGTGTATATTTAGTCTGCATATATCTTATATTTAAGAGGCATTGATGGTGTAATGGATAGAAAGATGACCTCAAAGCCAAGAGGACCTGAGTTCAAGATCTGAATCTGACAACTGCTAGCTATGTGAAACTGGGCAAGTTACTAAGACTTTCAGTTGCTCTAGGAAATTCTCTAAGACAACAAGGTGCCAACCTGCATTGGTTGAAGGTGTTTCCTCACCTGGGAGTTCTTTAGTTCAATGAAATCACAGTCCCTTTCCCCATATTTTCTACTTATCTGTGTCCATGTTTTTCCTATCCACTCCCTCCCTAAGCAGAATGCAAACCTCTTGAGAGAAGGAATTATTTTTTTGTTTTTGTATCTACATTGTTTTACATATACTAGGTATATACATATACCTATATGTATACATAGCCATACATATAACAGGGGTCTGGTGCATATGTAGAGCACCTCTGGTGGGGTCTCCCCAAGTGAAGAAACTAGGGATTCTGCTTCTGGGATTTACACATCATGATGTGTAAGGGAAATGCCTTAGAGAGACTCTGGAGCATGGACAGACATTCCATAATTGGTTCTGGTATACTAAACCAAATGATTAAGAGAAGCTTTTTTGATAGGCTGCATAGCCAGGATAGGAGGTGCCTTCAAAAAGAAGCTAGTAAATGAGAGCCTCAGAAATTCTGTCTGGTTGCTCATGGTGAATCTCTTTGACTCCTTTGCTCATCATGGTAGGGAGAAAGACAGAGACAGAGACAGAGACACAGAGACACAGAGAGAGACAGAGAAGAGAGAAAGAGACAGAGACAGAAAGAGACAGAGAGATAGAAACGACAGAAGGAGAGAGAGAGAGCACTGACAGGGGACAAGCCTTCAGCCTTCTCCCCGCTGAGGCCATGTGGTCTTGTGAATATAGTCCTGAGTTTTTTGCCTGACTTGACATTTGTTCTTTGGTTTTAGCTGAAGGGAAAGCATTCAGATTTTGCAGCCAGCTCAGCATCAATGCCCCAAGGAACAAGGAGTGACCTTGCTAGTGACATATGGGACCCAGCCTAGTGGAAACTGGGATGGTGCGGATGGCATTGCTTCATTTGGACATGAGCTTGGTGGGATCAGTGCTATAAAGGAACTGAGCTAAGGTTGAGCCCATTCTCCCTATGACTGAGGTGGAATAGGGGAGTACGTGGCCTCAGGAAGTTGGAGTGAAATCTTTGTCCTTTTGTTTTTGTTCCATCTTTGAAGTAAATGCCTTTATAAAATCTAATTGATGTTAAGTAGTTCAATGGGACTGGGGCACCATTCACTGGCACCTAACAATGAGGGGAACATATTTGGGGGCGCTGGATCTGACTACAGTAGAGAAGAGATACTCAGTCCTCTCAGGGAATCCTGAGGGGGAGATAGAACCAGCCTGGCTCTGGGATAGAAATCCTGGAGGTACTCAAACAGATGCTTAATAAATACTTTTTTTATTTTTAGGCAATTGAGGTTAAGAGACTTGCCCAGGGTCACACAGCTAGTAAGTGTCAAGTGTTTGGTCTGAGGCAGAATTTGAACTCAGGTCCTCCTGACTTCAGGGCCGGTGTTCTATCCACTGTGCCATCTAGCTGCCCCTCATAAATACTTTTGAGTTGTTGTCTAGTACTACAGTAATAATAATAATAACGAACATTTGTATAGTGCTATGTGCCAGGCACTGTGCTGAGTGCTCTACAATTATTACATCATCCAACTCTAGGAGGTAGGTGCTATTATTATTGCCATTTTACAGATGAGGAAACTGAGGCAGGCAACAGTTAAGGGACTTGCCCAGTCACACACTGGTAGCTGAAGCAGAATCTAAACCCGGGTCTTTCTCCCAGGCCTAGTGCTGTATCCGTTCCACCTAGATGGTGAGATAAAAAGAAAATTAGACTTAGAGAATAGAGTGGAAAAAAACTTACTTTATTAAAGAAGACAATGAAGAATAAAAAGATATTCTCTAAAATACAGCTATTAGGTTGGCGAGTTAGAGGCTGAGAACATAGGACTGATTTTCCTAAGTGAGATAGGAAAAAATGTTTTATTTATTTTTTAATTTTTAATTTTTTATTAATTAATTTATTTATTTTTAGTTTTCAACATTCACTTCTACAAGATTTTGAGTTCCAAATTTTCTCCCCGTCTGTCCCTTCCCCCCAAGACAGAGTGCATTCTGAATACCCCTTCCCCAAATCTGCCCTCCCTTCTATCACCCTCCCTTCTCTTATCTCCTTCCCCTTCTATTTTCCTGCGAAACAGGTATAGATTTCTATACCCTTTTGCCTGTATATCTCATTTCCCAGTTGCATGTAAAAATAATTTTTAACATTTGTTCTTAAAACTTTGAGTTCCAAATTCTCTCCCTTCCTCCCTCCCCACCCACCTTCATTGGGAAGGCAAGCAATTCGATATAGGTTATACACGTGTACTCATGCAAAGCAAATGTTTGAACAAATGTTCAAAATGCTTTATTTTTATTTGCACTTTTATTTGGTTCTTGTTCTGTATGTGATGGTTCTTGTTACACTTTCTTTTTTTTTTTCACTCAAAGTTGATAGAACTTATTTTTTTCATTTTTTCATTTCCACGTTGTAGTTTTAGGGTTGATCTTTCTCATGAAAACAAAGCCAGGTGGGCATCACAGTGCACTCTGGTAATCCCAGCTGAGGTCAGTGGACCTCTAGAGCTCCAGAGTTCTGAGTTATAGTGGCCTATTCTGATCAGATGTCTACACCTAGTCTGCCATTAATATGGTGAACCCCTGGGAATGGGAGCCAATGGGGTTACCTAAGGAGGAGAGAACTTAGCCAAATTGCCATTCCTGTGTCGATTATTAGTTGGATTGGACCCATGAGTGGTACCTATACTTCCAGCCTGGGCAAGATGGGGAGATCCAGTCCTTCTAAAAGAGTAATAAATCTAAAAGAATTCAAAAAGTCAGCCCTAACATGCCTCCCTCCCACCACGAAACAGCCCACTCAAAATAAATATTGTAAGGGAGAGTCCATTGAAAAAGAAAAGAACTCTTTCCTAATTCATTCCCACCCCCAGCCAAGGACCAGAATTGTGAGCTATGGACCAAAAACTATAAAACCCTCCTATAGTTGCCATCACAGCTCAACTCCCTGCCACTTTGATAGCACTACCAAATTATACCATTTGTTATTGTTGTTCAGTCATGTCACTCTTCATGACCCCAGTTGGAGTTTTCTTGGCAAAGATACTGCAATACTTTGCCATTTCCTTCTCCAGCTCATTTTACAAATGAGGAAACCGAGGCATATATGGTTTAGTGACTTGCCCAGGGTCACACAACAAGTTTCTAAGACCAGATCTGAACTCAGGTCTTCCTGACTCCAGGCCCAGTCTTCTGTCCACTGGGCCATCTAGCTACCCCACTGCCACTGGGTCAAGTCAGTGACTGTCTAGTGGGGTCAGGTTCCTCTCCAACCCTTTGGGGCTGCAAAGACTAGAAATGGTCTTCCCCCAGGGCTTCACACACCGTCACTATTTCACCTGCTCCAAGGAAACACAGACATCACCCCCTCCTCAAGCCCAGAATAGGAAGGGTTGGAAAGAGTTAAGAGACGCCACCATCAGAAATCAGAGCATTTATTATTTGAAACCAGCCTGAGGACAAGGGACTGATGGGCTTAGGGAGAGCAGGGAAAAGAGTAGATGCAACTCCTTCTCAGGGAGAGAGTCAGAGTAATAGGATACGGGCAGGCAATGAATGAGGAATGGGGTTGGGGAAGGGAGCAGTCAGAGGGGTAAAAAACAGGGAGCATGTGGGAAAACTCAAAGGAGCAGGGAAGAAGAAGCTGAGCAGAATGGCAATAAAGGTACAGGGTATGTGGTGAGGGTGAGGGTTCTCGGTAATGATGCTCCATTCTGGCCCAGAGAGCCCTCGGAGTGGCCAGGTGCCTCCAGAGACAGCAGGAGGCTCCTGAGGGAGGAGTGGGTCTAGGCACAATGGCGGCTCATAGGTTAATGATGCCAGTGGATTTCTCCTTGCATGGTGAGGGAGGAAGTGATTCTTCCCCCAGCAGCTCCTTGTCAGCCCCTTCTTCAACCTAAGAATAGAAAGAGAGAAGGTCAGCTCCCAGGATGTAGCAAAAAGGGAATGGGAAAGGAGAAGAGAGGAAGGACAGGAGAGCTTAGTTCTCTCAGAGCAGGGGAAAGGGTACAGCATCCCAAGAGAATGGGGGGATCAGGGTTAGGCATTGGGAAGAGAACTGAACAAGGAGCTAGACTCAGCGTGCCCCCTCCCATGACCCTGCCCCATAATTCACCTGGAATTTAGAGTTCTGGCAGCACAAGTTACGGAGGCCCACGCCCAGGCAGGCCAGAGACACAAGGACTATCATGGCACAGATGGCCAGCAGCATGGCCTGGACTCCTTGGAACAAATGCTGAAGAATGAGAAGAGGACAGGTTTGGCAGAATGACCATATTCAGAATGACCACCATCCTTTTCACCATCACAGCAATTCCCATGAGCCACTATTCCCCTAAACATTGTGGCTATAATTAATTTCTTCAACCTCACTGTCAGTCATTTATTATTACCCTCAAAAAGTGGCAACATTTGAGGAAAGGGAATTGAGAGAAAAGAACATTTCAGCTTCTTTTCCCAGAAATCAGGAGTATTTTCATCTCTAGAATCTCTGCCCTTTCTAGTCCCAGGCTATTTGCAGGCCTAACACATAGGTGTCTGGACAGTCCCTTTGATCCAAAGCTAACCATGTGGAGCTCAGGGCATGCACTCATTTGCCCTCCAGGCAAGGATTGGAGGAGTAAATGATGAAAAGACCACTTGGACCACATTTCTCCTATCCCCCAGTACCCTGGGACTGGGTTCTCACCAAAAGCATGTCCATATTCCTCTTGCACTCTTCAGTCCTCCAATCTCTATAATCATATCTCCTATAATACAAGACAGTCGTGGTTTCTGACCTAGAATGCTCACAGATCATTTTCATGTTGGAGAAGTGATTAGCAGAATCCTCAAGGCTGTATGAACAGAGGACTAGGGCAGCAAGGGCTGTGGAGATGCTGATCAGGGCAAGCAGGGCAGCAAGACGACTCTAGAGAGGGAAGGAACAGAGGAGAGCAGACCCCATCTGGTCACTACAGTGTCACAGAGCCCCTAACCCTCATCCCCTGAGGATACCAGCCAAGTGAGGTCCAGACTTCTCGGTACACCAGATTCCTCCTCCCACTGAGGACCCAAAGCCAGTGAATGTAGAACAAGGAAGAAAAGGAGGTAAAGAGGGATGGGAAAGGAGGAGCTAGAGTGAGGAGGAAAAAGACAGGTGAGCCCAAAAGGAAACAGAACCGCCCCCACTCTTACCCAGCAGCTACTCTGACATTTTTCATAGATGATGGCCCCAGCTCCAGCCACAATGGCCTAAGGAAAATAAAGATTAAAGAAGGTTTCCCACTTCCTTTCCAAGCCCCAGCCCAGATAATCGGAAAGGATCTAGGAAAGGGGGAAGGAAGCCAGTCACATGGCCTGGGATCCAAGTGCCCCTATTCCATCCTCTCCCATTCCAATCCCTCCCCTCCAACCTCTGCTACCTTGCCAACAACTCCAAACTAAAAAGAAAATGGGAAGTAAGCTGGCTTTTGCATCACTTGAAAGGCCTCTTCTTCCTATGCCCTATATCCGTGTGCCCCTCTTCATTCCTCCGTGTCCATTGGCCCCCTCCTCACTCCCTTAGTTTCCTCAAATACCCCCTTTTCCCCCAAATCCCTTCTCTACTCACCACAGCCCCTGCCCAAAAGGCACAGCCTATGGCCTGCAGGGGAATCCAAGGCCCAAAATGCAGGAGTATCCCAAAAGAGCAGCTCAAGACCCCCAGCAATATCAGTGACACCTGTAACATAGGATAGCAACTCAATCCCTGCCCACGACCTCCACAGTCCCAGGGAGCAGCTGGCATAGCTGCTACCCGATGAAAACCTCCAGAGACAATCTTGACTCCTTATCCCTAAGTCTCCTTCCTCAGATCAGGGGTGAGTCCTGCTCCTAATCTCTAAGGAAAGAAGATTCTACAACCTGTCTCAGTTTCCCCAAGCCACAGTTCTTGAAACCAAGAATTTTTTTTTCTCCTATCTAACAGTAAATCCCTCCAGTTCCCTGGATGGGAGACCTTGGACAATGAAAGTTGCTTCCCCTCTTAGTTGTTTCCTGTGTAAAAGAGGAGGGTGTCAGAGATTAGATTGGATAATCACTAAGGTCACTACCATTTCTAAATTTCTGTGATTCTGGCTTCCTTCCATTTTCTCTTTGCATCTTCATGGGAATGGAAAGATGTACCTCTTCCCTCCCCCCCAGTTCTTATCATCTCTTACATATACCCCTTTGAACTCACTCTTACCCCAAGTGCCAGCTGTGCCTGGAGCACCCTTCTGCTCTGTTTGAGAGTGTCCTGGGAATAAGTCTTAGATGGCAAGAAGGCGCATCCCATCTGGAGGAGCTTGGCCAGAGTTGACTCCTGGTGGATGTGTATAGTGATTTGAGTTGGTTGGGAGTTCACTTCCACAGCCTGCATCCCATCCACCTTTATCACGCTGGTGGACATTTTCTAAGTCTGGACCTGGAAGTAGATTAAACGAAAGGAGAGAGGAAACAAGGCAGCTGCTACTGAGCCTAAGCAATGAAGGATAGGTATAGACCTAGGACAGTTCACATGAAACCAGCACTGGAAATGCACTCAATGAGCCTGGGTTCAAATCCCAGCTCTGCTACTGTATTCACTTTAGGCAAGCCTCAGTTTCATCATCTGTAAAATGAGAGATTCAAACCAGATCACCTCCAGGACTTCTTCTAGCTCAAAATCTATGAAAAAATAAACTCTCCCAAAGATAAAAGTATTCCTTGAATACTTCTTTTCTCCAGGGATTTTCCTTTCCTCAAAGACTCCACTTGGAGACATGACCTAACCCTCCCCCTCTCTCTGTGTTCTCTCCTCACAATACCTGCCCTGCTTCAGCCCCACTGGACATGACCCTGCCTCAGTATATCTGCCCTTGTGCCCTTCCCCTCCTCTCCTCAGCTATCCTAGTTCCAATCCTTATCTTCCCTTTCCTCCTTCCACATCATTCTTCCTCTGGCTCCCCCTTTCCTTTTTAAATGGAAAGGGTAGAGCCTGGGACTCCCTAAGGTTCATTTCCCACATTGAAGAGGGAAATCCCTCATTCTTCCCTCATCGCCCCCAGTCCTCAATAGCAATGTCAACTAAAAAGCTGGACCCCCAGGGAAGTAAATATACACTCAGACCATACCCTCAGACACGGAAAGCCAAGGAAACCAGGACACATAACCCATGAAGTTCAAATGGAGCAGAGATCATTAGCTTACCTGGTTGGTCGTTTGCCTTGGTGGGCAAAGTAAGGTAAGGAGTGATGGGTGAAAGCTGAGCAGGGACGGAGGAGGAGGCAAGAATTAGGAAGGAGGCAATAAGGAAGAGAGGCCTAGCTCTGCAGAGCTTAACACAAAACTGTTTTCACCACAGCCGGAGAGCCAGGGCCCAACCTTAGAGGAGGAGCCATGGGAGGGCACTGAGCAAGGGGGAAGGGTAAGTCTGGTGATTCCCAACTCCAGATGCAGCCACTGCAGCAGATTGCTTCCCAGCTCTGGTGCTTGGAAAATCCCCTGCCTACCCGTCCAGAGTCGGGGCTCCAAAATAAGGGTTGAAGGCAAGCATTAGTAGTTGTAAGAGGGCTTGACTCGGTCTCAGAAGACCTACTTTGAATTCCCACTAACTGTGTTACCTGGGCAATACTTTAACCTCAGTGTCTTCATCCATAAAGTAAAAATTATACCCCCGTTTTCCCCATTTGTTTTTGTTCAGTAGTGTCAGTCATGCCTATCTCTTCATGACCCCATTTGGGGTCTTCTTGGCAGAGATACTGGAGTGGTTTGCCATTTCCTTCTGCAGCTCATTTTACAGATGAAGGAACTGAGGCAAACAGGGTGAGATGACTTGTCCAGGGTCATGCAGCTAGTAAGTGTCTGAACTCAGGTCTTCCTGACTCTAGGCCTGGCTCTCTATCCACTGAGCCTCCTAGCTGGCCTATTTTCCCCATAGGGTTGGAGGAAGGAAAGTACTTTGGAGACCTTAAAAAGCTGTAGAAATGTGAGTTATTAATATTGTTATCTCACTAATCTTACTGTAAGTTCTCCCAATGTAGTGATGATGTCTTCTCCTGTGTGCCCTACAGCATCTAACATATAACATAATAACAGCTAATATAGCATTTATAGTCTACCAGGCATGGGCTAAGCATTTAACAATTACATTCTATCTTCACATAACCTTGCAAAGGAGATGCTATTATTATCCCCATTTTACAGATGAGGTAACTGAGGGCAAATAGAGTTAAGTGACATATTCAGGGTCACACAGCTAGTAAGTATCAGAGGCTGGATTTGAGTTCAAATCTTCCTGACTTCAGGCCCTGCACCACACCAACACAGTGGTGTGCTCTGTAACCCAGAACCAAGACTCAGCGTCTAAATTTAATCTTTCAGATACATCACAAATTACTTTCTTTGGCTGGTGCCCTCACTCAAAGTTTCTCCTGAGAACATCAGAATGTCGTTCATTTCAACCCCACCTAGTGTTTCCCCTGAGAATATACGAATATCTAGACCCCTACATTTAAAAAGGTTCAAGAGACATAATTTCTAGGTAATTGGATCATTTTATTAATAATACCAATATGTGTATTAATAAAAGGATGGTCAGTTAGCCATCTCTCTTTTAGACCAAAGACCGTCATGGTAGTGGGCTGTTGGCTTATAAACCCATTGGAAGTGGGGTGTTCCCAGGGTGGCAATCAACTCTGATTGGTTAACAATTTATGAGAGAGCGAATATTATAATGAGGGGCTGACCCTATTCAAATGACTTTGTTTATGTAATTTACTTCTAAGTTACCTCCAGCCTTGGGCAATCTATTCAAAGAATTTATTCCCAGCCAAAATTGAGTAGCACAATGGCTTCCCCACCTGGGTGGGGTCTAAATCCAATTCCATTATCAGTAATGTCCCTCAAGAGACTGAACTTTTGACATCAGGACTTTACAAAAAGGGGGGGGGTGACTCTTGATCATCCCAAATCATTGGTTATTAATAATCATTTCTCTCAAAAGGTAAAAGGGCCCCTCAGCCCTCATGCAAACACTTAGGCTAATAATACCTTCAACACAGGACATACTTTATTTAACCTGATAAAAAAATTTTTTTAACTGAGAAAGGTAATGGCCTATCTGAATGAGGGGTAATAGCTTTTGAGTTTGAAAGGGATTTTTGAGTCAACTGTTCATTTTACAGAAGAATAAACTGAAACCAAAAGCACTTAGTGATGCCTAAGGTTACACAGGTAGTAAATGATCAGCAATTAGAACTCAGGTCCTCTGATGTGAAATCGTCTTTTTTTTTTTTAACTACACTGGACTGTAGAGTTTACTTAATTGATTACTAGCTTGAGTGTGAATAGTGTTTCCTATTTTTCATTAAGTTTCATCAAGTTCAGCATCATTCTTTTTTCTCAAAAAGCTTTTTTCTCATGTGTCCTAGATATATCTCTGGATCAGCTAATGGCAGTGTCTACAGTCGGCACCTAAAACAGAATAGGCATAAGACTCCCAGCAAAGAAGCTACATACCTAAGGAGAACTTCCAGTAATCAGAAGACTTATAAGTCACCCATTTGCCACATCTTTTCTCTAAGATTGAACCCACTCTCCCTTGGACTCTGTATGTACCAGCAGAAGAATTTGTCACACATTTTGGGGTAGATGTTCCATACCAACTATTCTCATTGTACCACTTTAGGAAATAGCTCTTCCTAAAAGCTACTTAAGGCTAGCTGACTAAAATGACTCTCCCTGATAACTTTGGAGGCAGCATATCAATGGGGACTTAAGCCAATAGCATGAGAGAATTACCTCCTGATTCTTAGGGGTGCACCTAGAATCCTGAGGGGGAAATATAACCTTGCTGTGGGACCCAAGACTCATCTGTGAGAGTGGGAATTGGGATATGGACCTTTGGAGCTTATATGAGCTACACTACTACTACTAATAACAATAATAATGATTCCCGAAAGTATGAACAAATGGTAATTTAATGAAACAGATATGTTTATACTTCTACTATTAATTTCAGTAAGACGCTACACTTCGATCACAGGTGTCAATCAACACAAGAAAGCATTAACTGAGCCCAGATTCCTCCTGCATAATTCAAGATAGGTAGAAATTCATATATACTTTTATTATAATTTGCTTTCATGTTAATCATGAGAATCATACACTTTTTTTCAAGCTGGAATGGATCTGAAAAATAATTCTATAGATTTTCTTGTTCCCCCTGTGTCTTTTCAGGGGCTGGGCTAAGCACTGAGCCTGTTGGGCAGGGAAACCTGGCAGATTGGTGTGGTGATTGGCAGGAGTCTATTGTGACCATGGGGCACAGGCATAAAACTTGTCAATATGGAACCACAGTTGGTCACAACCAGAAGAGATCAACCAATGCTCATAGCGTGCTCATCTGCTCGTCCATCAGAGAGAATCCACTAAGGGGACAATATCTACAACCCAGAAGGACTTAAACAAAATCCAGATCCAGGTGTGAAGTTATGAAGTAACAGGAAGAGAGGAAGAATAGGATTATGTACTGAGTTTGGTTGACAGTGGGAGCCATTCTCTTGGAATGCTAGACTCCAGGGTGGTCAGCCTCCTTGACAATAGAAGGATAAACAGGACCCTAATGAACAGAATGTACAGTAATTATTTTCATTGACTTAGTTATTGGTATGTGTTCCATCTTGGTTCTAGACAAGGTCTGAAAAGCAGATCCCTTGCTAAGCCTCAGGGATCCTGAGATTCTATCTCAGGGGCATTCCTCATTCTGTGAGCACCTCAGTTGCCCCCAAAGAAAAGATCACTCTAAATAACCAAGCCCCAACTTGTATGGTGAATGTTTAACCTGAGGTCCCAGAAAGTCACAACCACTTCACAGCTAGGCTACTCCAGGGCATGACATACCACAGGGTCAAGGATCCTCAGCCCTCTCCCAAACAAAACATATTCTTTCAACTATAATTCCATTATTAAAAGTTCTGGAATTCCACTCTTCAATATTTATCTATATATCTATCCATCTATATCAGGAGTTCTTGAGCCTTTTTGTGTGTCATGAACCCCTTTGACAGTATGGTAAAGCCTATGAACCTCCTCTCAGAAACATATTTTTAAATTTCTAAAATAAAATATACGGGATTACAAAGGAAACTCATTATAGTGAAATACAATTATGGAAGGAAGGAAGGAAGGACTAAAAACAAATTCACAGAGCCCAGGTTAAGAATCTCTTCTCTATTTGGAGAGGGAGAGAGATTTTCATACGTGTAATGTTTCCTACATAATTTGCGTTTTGTTGAATTGGTTTGTAAAGCAAGAAACAGCTAGAGAGCAATCATATGATGTTGAAGGTATATACTGATATGAGGGAGAGTTGGGACTGTGCTTAACACATCAGCGAGATGGCCCACACTGAAAGTCACAAGTCAGTGACATTATCAAACCTGAAAAACAATAATACCTATGATTTCTAAATGTCACATGCATTGCAAATATATCCAAACGTGTAACAATGCCACAAATTCCTAGTCCTTTTTTCCTCTCCTGCTAAATCTTCTCACTGTAATCTCATTCGTTCTTTCTTGCAATGATCCAAGTTCTACCCATACTCACTCACCTTACCCCATACCTACCCACCCCCCACCCCACACCCCCTTAGTTTTTGCTATTGTTCAGTTGTTTTCAGTCGTGTCCAACTCTTCATGATCCTGTTGGGGGTTTTCTTGGCAGAGATAATGGAGTTTTTTGCAAGCTTGGCAAAAGCCTGGGTACTTTCAATTCCCACCATTTCTGCTCCCACTTCCCACATGGTCTCCCTCAGGTTCCCAAGGTCTCATTGCTTCCCCAACAGGAAACAGAACTGGCTTAGCCTGGTCATGGCCCTGACCCGCCAAGCCTGGAAATCCTCTCTGGTCCCTGCTTCCCAATACACAACCACAAGCCTTTACCCAGCTCTGGCCCTGCCCTCCCTTCTGCTTCCCAGAATGACGTCACCACTGTTCCTCCCCTCCTAGTCCGGACGTCTAGCTCCTCCCAATTATATTATGATTTTACTTCCCCTCTTCTGCTCTTCCAAACAGGCTGTTTCTCTACTGGATTTTTATTTTCTCCACTCCTCTGATCTCTTCAACCCTATTCCCCCTTTCTGGCCAAGGAGGCTGAGCTAAACAAGGTAAGAGGAACCCTGCTCCCCAAAATTCAGCTCATCTTCCCCAACAAGATTTCTCAGACATTGCCAGCTCTCCAGTCTCTCATCCTGTTCACCCAGAAAGCCAATCCTCTCTATATTATTAACCCTCCAGAGTGTTTGCATGGGAGGGAACGTGTTACTAGTGAGTACATTTAAGAGAAAGAAGACAGAAGAGTAGGTAAAAGGGATGGGTTCTCTTCCCTATGCCCTATACTAAAGTCACCCTTTCCTGTTCCCTCCTTCAAATCAATGATTCTAGAAGTTTGAACAAATCCTGAACAGCAATTTCAGTGAATAAATGAACAAAAGGCTGCAAAATCTCCCTTTCACCAACTCCCCCCTTCTAGCAAAAGAATAGATGCAGGTTGTTTATTTGGCTTTATCCCTCAGCCTTGGGGAAATGAGCAGTGTAGAAGGGCAGCTCCAAGGAGGGATGAGAAGGGGGAAGGCAGTGGCCTTTGACCTAGACCAAGGATGGGAGACCTAGAAGGCCACATGTGGCCTTAAGGCTGCAGGTTCCTCACCCCTGTCCTAGACCAAGATAGCCAAGATTGTGAGTGGAGAACGTGGAGAGACACTAGAAGAGATGTAGCAAGAGAAGGGAGAGGCAAAGATTTTCACTGCTCCACCAACAGCGCAGGGGCTTAAGAAGAGCTGGAGCCGTTTTGCTAGCACTCTAGCCATTTTGGATCTCAGTATTCTTACCTACAAAATGGGTTTAATAACACCTTCCCTACCCTACCTGAGGTTAGAATGAGATAATGGATCTGAAAATACTTTGAAAACCAAGTCCCCATACATATGTCAAAGGATTATTAGCATTATTGGTATTATTATGGGTCTAATGAGGATTGAGGAAGGTAGGCCAAGTTTCTTAGGCTTCCAGAGAGCACCAATTTCTGCTTCTGTAGTCTGGTCCCCACCATCTAAACTTCCTCCCCTCTCCTCTGAGTCTGACCTTTTATGTTATACCCCTGTCCTCTATGCATATGGGGATCAATGTGTACAGGTGATTAGGAGCTGAAAGAATGCTTCTGCACATTTAAGGTAACCTTCAGGGAAAAACCAAATTCAGAGGTGGGAAGTCAGATCATCCCATTATAAAGGGAATCAGGTTAAAGGAAGCTTTCACCATGAGCCCTGATATTTTAATCTCACTTTCTCCTAGGCCTGCAAGATGGTCCCCAATGAGGTGAAGGTGAATGGAATTAAGATAGATGGGCTGGAAGCAGCTGAAACCTCCCAGCCAGTTCACGTTAATATCCACATCCACCAGGAGTCGACTTTGCCTGAGCTTCTCAAGGCTGGGAAATCTCTGTTGAAATTCTTTGTTAAGCCTGCTGGCACTCCTGAGTTGAGTGCAAGAAAGAGTCGGCTACAGTTAGCAACCTGGGTAAGTGAAACAACTCTCAAATAGGAGCAAAATTCAACATGAACAAGAGGACTCGATGTCCAGGCAAAGAAAGACATGACCTTCTTTTCCTCCTTTCCAGGAGTAAGTGTGTTATTGACATTCAAGTTGGTACTACTGTTATTTTTCAGCATTTTCTCCTGATGAAGTAAAATATGCACAATTCCTAAAGAGATATACTTTTAAGGAGATTTCATTGGGGATGAATTTATTCTCTCATGAGCTACATTTCTGTTTTGCTGTCTTTTTCATACTCTGTAACAGGGTGGTAAAACTTTTTTTTAAACTGGAGAACATTCAGTCACAGAAAATAATCCATCCAAGGCCCCAAGGAAGTAAAAAAAAAAATAGTTTAGGTCTTGTTTCTTAGATTCAGAAGAGACATTTAATAACTGAGACATTTAGATGAAACTCATCTAAATTTTTGTATTGAGAATGTGGAACTTAAATGGATGTAATCTCATCAGTTTGGGTCCTCCTTCCTCCAGTGTAAAACACAACCAATTCATGCCTACTCATCCCAGTCAACTCTTATCCATGACTTCCAATGAATTTGATAAAGGGTGGCCAATCAATGTAATTTCTGTTGACATTGCAAAGATATTAAAGGAGCAGATAAGTTATCCATCAGGTGTCTGGCCTCCTACCCTTTTACATTCTTCAATGACATCCTCTACTCTACCTCACCATCTTAATTCCTTGTTCATTAAGTGTGGGGCTGGCAGCTAGGTGTTGAAGTGGATAGAGTGCTGGGCCTGGAGTCAGGAAGACCTGAATTCAAATCCAGCCTCAGCTACTGTGTGATCCTGGGCAAGTCACTTTACCCTGTTTACCTCAGTTTTCTCATCTGCAAAATGAGTTGGAGAAGGAAATGGCAAACCACTCAAGTATCTTTGCCAAGAAAACCCCAAATGGGGTCACAAAGAGTCATTCACCTGAAACAACTGAACAACAACAAAGTATGGGGCAGGCAGCCTGCTGACCCTTCTATGTACCTACCCACAGAGCTCATGGAGTGAAACTCATTTTCAATTCTTTGGAAACTCCAGCTCTCATAGGATCAAGTTTACAAAATGAGACTTTTAAGGGCAAAGGGGAAGGGAATGAGCATTTATGAAGTGCCTACTATGTGCCATGTACTGTGCTAAGCACTTTACAAATATCTCATTTGATCCTCACAACAATCTTGAGAGGTAGGTGCTATTCACCATTTTACAGTTGAGGAAACTGAGGCAGACTATAAAGTTAAGTGACTTACCCAGGGTCATTCTAGATTTGAACTCAGGTCTTCAGGACTGCAGGCCCAGTGCTCTATCCACTGTACCACCTAGCTGCCTAGGGACCACAGACTTCTATGACTCACTGCCATAGAAAAATATCTATAGAATGTGGCTGTTTAAAAGACGGGTCTTTGGTTTAGCGAAAAGTCTGACAGCATTAAAGGGACATTATGATTGCTCAAAATAAAGAACATAATGAATTCTGCTTTGGATATGTTGATTTTGAGATGCCTGCAAAACATCCTGGTGGGGATATCAGAAAGTTTGAGATGTGGTACCAGAGCTCAGGAGAGAGAAGATGGCTGGATATCTAGAACTGGTAGGCATCTACATAAAGATGAAGAGTTGAATTGACAAAAGCGGATAAGATCTCCAAGAAAGAATTACAGAGAGAAGAGGAAAGGATCTAGATCAGAGCCATAGAATACATCCACAGACAGATGGTGGAATATGGAAGATGAACGTAAACAAAACAAACTCTAAAGATGTACAAAATATCCATAGCCCTTTTTGGAGGTGGCAAAGAATGGGAATTCAAAGGGGCTAACCATATATAAAGGTGAGGGTCTGGCCAAGCTACATATTCTCTACCACTACTCTGCTCCCAAAGAACAGTAATATGATGGAGTGGAAAATCATTGAGCCATATGCCAGGAAATCTAGTCTGTCTGACATTGGACAAGTCATCTAGGGCTTCAGGTCCTCTTCTGTAAGACAGAGATAATAATGTATGCCATATTTACTTTGTTGAAATCTTATGAAACCATAAAATAAGATATTAGATGGAAAACTACTCTCAGAAAACTTCTCAAACTTGGGGAAGAGTAGTGTAGCCTTAATAAAAAAAAATTTGATAATGTGACCACTGGGTCATCCTACCAATTTCCAAGCTCCATTCAGGAAGAGGCAATGTCTTTAAAGGCTGTTTCTCCTCCCTCTCCCCCATATACTACACATAATAGGTGCTTAATATGTTTTTGTTTAATTAAAATGAGTTTAACTTAATTGAATATTAATTCCCCTTTCCCTGATTTCATTCTGTATCCAATTCTAGTCACAAAGGGAAATTCCAGATTAGATTATTACCAATATCCCTCACAAGGAATCAGCTTTATCCAGAGTCCACAATATTTTTACACAGGTGATATCAGGTTAAAATTAACATAAGAGCAGGCTTATTTTTGTGGTGTAGCTTGAAGTTTGAATACAGTCTGAATCAACAGACTATTAAAGGCACATCTACTTTGCTTTAGCAGCTGAGAAAGAGTGGTACACTGTATGCGTGTGAGAGAGAGAAGGAGGGAAAAGGAAAGAGAGAAAGCTTGAAACTTTCTTATCACCAACTATCAGAAGCAGCTGTTTCTACCCACTAGCTGCCTTTCTGGGTCACTGCCTAACCACCATCTACCTGACCAAATGATGGGCACAAGGCATTATCATGATCTATTTTAGCAGGGTTTGGGTTGACCCTCCTATGTGCATCCTAAGTTGGGGGATCACTCCTTTTCTCAACCTGGTACTGGAGCATTTTCCTTCTTCATTATTATCTCAGATTCCAGGATAATCAAGGGATATGTTCTGATATTTCCCCATTAATCACTAAAATTCCAACACCACTCTCATCAATTAATCAATCAGCTTTGAGCCTCTACTCTAGTTTATTAAGTAAACTGAAGGAAGCTTTTTCCCCATAAGCTTCTACTCATCTCTCCTTTTGTTTATCAAGTCCATAATTTCCTAGGCTTAAATATAAAGGCTACTGGCTATACAATTCATTAACAGTATAGAAAATAATAAAATAACAGTATAGAAAATAATAAAACAAAGACAAATAATTATTTGCAAAGTGTCAGCTGTGAGAAAAATCACAGCCAAAGACCTCTAGGCACCTAAAGGTTGGAACTATAACCTCACTACAACTACTGACATCTTCTCAGTTCATTCGACTTTCTCAGGATGCCAATTAAAATTTCTTCTCAAGAATTTTCTTCATGTTTCTTCACGAGATAAGAGTTAAAAACAGTTCTCTCAGGAAAGAAGTTCTCTTAGTCCTTTCTTTTGGTTCTCTCAGTTTTTTTCAAACCACAGCAGCTAAAAATCTCTCCAGAATGATAGTTAAACTCTTAGCCTCCCCATAGATTCCTCAAAGAGTGAGAGCTAAACTATAACTGTCCAAGATTCTGTTGCTTCTTAAAGTAACAATATCTATAGTCTCCATGAGAGAAGTTATTGAAGCTGATGTTACATTACAAACAGTTCTGTCTCTCTCTCATAAATTCCTACCTACCCTTACACCTTAGGCAACCACTACCTGAGCACCCATCCGACCTCAGCCCTTCTCTTAGCCTGGCTATTGGGAACAAGATATCACTTTCTTAAAATGTGAGGTATCTGAACGTTGATTGTGGGGATGGGATGTCTTTGTCTCACAGGCTGCACAGATAATATTGGGAGCCATGAGTGGAGCCCTAGGAGTCTTCTTCTGTATTGGCTCCTTCAACAGATTAAGATATTCTGGAGCTGCTTTCTGGACTGGAGCTGTGGTAAGTACAGTAGGGAAGGAGGGAGAAAGGAAACGAAAGAATCTCAGAGAGGAAGGGCCTAATCATCATTATTAACAACACTTTTTAGCATCTAGAATGTGTCCAGTTCTGTGCTAGATATTGTAAAAGATACAAATAAATAAAAGATGCAGTTCCTGTCCTCAAGGAGTTTACTATCTAGCTGGGGAAATAGGATATATGCTAGACAATAAGCTACAATCGAGCAGAAACCATGATTTATTCATCTTTGTTTTTTGAACACTGTGAATGTTCAATGAGTATGCTAAATGAATGAATAAAAAGGCAAGTAACAAGTCAAGGAATTATATAAATAGTATAGACTGTCGGTGATACAGGAAGGAGAGATCACTGGGGGTTGGGGTGATCAGGAAAGGCTTCATGTATGTAACTTTGAATAAAGATAGTATTTGACCCCAAATTTCTTGTAGGACAGTAAGGCCCACACAGACCTGTTCCATACTTATCAAATGGTAGGCTAAGCTTTTTCTTTACATAGAACAGAAGCCAAACCCTACATTCAATAGCCCTATTGTAGCAAGTTGTATACACGGGGCAGAGAGAGGAGAGGGAGGAATTGGGAGCGGGGGCAAGGAGGCAGCTCAAGAAGAGTTATGGTAGAAGATGATAGAAGGGAAATTTGGTTTTTATACCACCTTATCCTCTCCAGGCTATTTCAGCTGGAGTTGTTGCCATAATTCAAGAGAAGCGGAGAGGTACATGGTGGGTAAGTACAATGAGATGTATGATTAACAAACTGTCTGTCCTACCCTAGGCTCATCTGTCCCACTCCTGGCTTGGTACCCTTTCCCACACTCCTAGCCAAAGGTGAGCCTTAAGCTCTCCCATGCTGTCTTCATAAACCATCTTCACAAACCATCTTCACAAACCTTTGCCTATGACTTGCAGAGACCTTGGTGAGCTACAAAAGTAAGAATAAAAAAACTAAGCCAGGGTAGGGAAACTGTGGCCTTCTAGATCCTTGAATGTGGCCTTTTGACTGAGTCCAAGTTTTACAGAACAAGTCTTTTTATTAAGGGGATTTGTTATTCGAAGTTTGGATTCAGTCAAAGAGCCACACTTGAGGACCTAGAGGGCCACATGTGGCCTGGAGGTCACAGGTTCCCCACCCCTAAGCACAGCCCTAATCAGAGGTGCCCCTTATCTTCTCTCCTCCACAGAGCTTACTGAAAAACCTATTCATCCTGGCAACTATTTCTGCTTCCGTCGCTGCCATCATTATCTGTGCTCAAGAGCTACAATACTCATTCTACTACTTGGACAATCTATGTGGTAAAGAAAGTGTTTGGCCCACTCAGGCCTATAACACTCTGGAACCACAGGAAGTCTGGAGGAAAAGCCAGTGCTTGGATTACATGAACATGCTGCGGGTGAGCATACATTTTTAGTATGATGGGAGGAATGAGGAAGGATGATGGATAATCAGAACTATAACTGGACCATGGGAGCCTAAGCTTTGCCCCAGGATGAGGAGTTGCACAGGGATGGGGAATTTACCCCCAGGACAAATTTAAAAGGCCATTGCTGAGCAATTTTTATCTTTCTAAAAAGAAATCTGTGACAAGGCCTAAGTCATAAGGGAACCTGATGGTGGAGTATGAAGAGTGCTGTGGATGGAGTGCTGTTCAGGATGGTAAGAGTGGAGGGCAGGTTGCAGTCTCCTGCTGGAAAGAAGCTTGATCTTTTCATGAGAGTTCTTGAGCAGGAACCTAAGCTCTGGTCTAGCCTAGGTATGGGGAAAAGTGCCTGGTGCCAGTCCACAGGGCCCTTCCCCTCGGTGTAAATGGTCAAGAGCACATTCCTCACGACAACCCTGTGAGATAGATAATGCAAATATTTTTATTCTCATTTTACTGATGAGGAAACTGAGGCTCAGAGAGGTGAGGGGACTTGCCTAGGATCACATAGCTAGTAAGTATAAAGTCAGGATAATACATAATCAGTCATTCTTCAAAGCAGCTATGTGAAATAGGAAGGGTATCAAATAAGGGAGTTTTAGAACTGGAAGGAAGCTTAACACCTTCCATGTCACAGGTCAGGAAACTGCAGTCCTGAGGGGAAAGAAAAGTGATTTGCCCAAAGTTACATAGCTAGTTAACAACCAGTTAAGACCAAAACGGAAGTCTCTGAATCTCTGCATCCGATGTTCCTTCCATCATACCATACTGTTGACAGTGGTGATAGGGCAAAGTCGACAGGCACCATATTTGTAGCAATGATGAGACCAGTGAAAATGGAGACAGGTTAAGAAAGCATAGTGGCACTAACAGAGTTAGAGCCACCTCTGCACTCTATCACCAGAGCCTGAAAAAAGGAATTACAATCATGGCACTACTAGTCTGGATCACAGTGCTGGTGGTAACACTGGTCCCTATGGGGTTCGCCCTCGTGTACCCATGCTTCTGGCGCCAGAGCAACGTGCCACCTGAAGAGGTAAGATCCCAGGGTGGGGGCCCAAGGAGTGGAAGGATAGCAGCACTAGAAAGAAAAATTCTGAGGAGGGACAAGGCCCATGGAATCTCACATTCAAACAAACTATGTTCATCAGATGAGTGGGATCAGGGTTTCCCCTTCATTACCTAGTTCTAGAGATGCTCTAGTGATTAGTCTGGACCCTAGTTGAGCATCAATCCAAAGGATCAGAGGAGGGGGTGAGGAATTGCATATCCCAATGCCATCCTAAGTATTTGGGTTCACTCTGGGTGCAGTGTAGAGGGTTGTTTGGATCTGCAGAACCCTAGAATCAGGCTTACTTATAGACAAAGAACCCTACCGTTGGACCTCCCCCTATTTGGCTCTAACCTCTAACCTTCTTGCCTCCTCTGCATTCAGGATGTAGATGAGAAGAAACCACTTCATGGAGAGTTGAACTTTGCATCCCCTGCCAAGGTGGCAGGGTCCTGTGAAGCCTAAGCCTCAGCTGGGCTAGGTGGTTCTGAAATACCTATTATTCCTCTTTATACATACATATATCCTGATGTCACTGCTCAGCTCCTCAGCTCCACTTCAAACAGTAATAAAGTGAGCTCTTCCCACAATTTCTTCCCATTCTGCCTCTTCCCACAATTTCTGGGAGTTCCCTGCTTATCCTCCTTACTTTGACAAAAATCTGCTAATAAAACAATGACTGCAGCCCTGGGTCCTTCCTTCTTCTCCAGCCGCTTTCTTTTCCCCTGCCCTCTTGTTTCCTCCAAAGGACTTTTCCAAACTCTGAAGGGAGGTAGAATTAGACCCAAAGGAATGGAAGGGCCCCAACCCCTTGAAACCTCTCAAGTGTTTACGGAGAAGGAAGGACCACAGAGCCATAAATAACGCGTTAGAAGAGTCTAGGGCTCTGGCTAGGGGTGGAGAATGTTGCCATTAGGTGAGAGCAGTCACACAGCTGATTATAGCTACAACTGAGGCCAAGGAGATAGTTGAGGGAATAACCTAGCAAGTTTTTTGGAAGGATAGAGAGCAGTTAGTCAAGGAAAAGTATACCAGGGAAGGAACTGGACTTGGAAACAAGCCTTGCTCTTTTTTCCTGCCCCTTCATCCTTAACCTCCTCCTCCTCCACCATACCATACCACCAAAACCTTTTGCCTCCCACCCACACAGCCATCTAAGTTGTAAATGTTCTGGGATCCTAGCCAAAAAAAAATCTTCATCCTCAGAATAAGTCAGACTCAAGGGAGATTCCCCCACCCCCTTTCCCTTAGCACATTTGTCTAGACAGAACAGTTCGGAATGGATTAACCCTTACCATAACACTCAGCCCCACTAGCCAAGACAGTGACTTCTTCGGTATATGCAAAGTGAGCCACAGCATGGGGTCAGTCAAAGAGACAAAACAAGAATAAAGGAGGAACTACTTGGTGTTGCCCTGAAGTTGATTTAACCTGCCTTCTTTGAGTCACCATATTTTTCAGAGCTGGACAATTAGTGTGTCCTTGAGAATCCCACCAGCTACAAGACAGGCACCGGTCAGTCTGCACCAGTCTGTTGACGTGGATAAACTGTTGATGCAGCTGGCACCCTTCCAGCTAAGCAGAGTCCCCTCCCTTCATGGTCCCATGTTCCCAAGCCCCCCTGCTCCCTCTTGCTCCTCCTCCCCTACTGCCCCCTTCCTCCTCCCATACCACTCCCATTTGGGAAGGGATTGCCCTCCATTCCTTCCATGAGACTTTCCCTTTTTTGTAATTCATAAATATTCAAGTTTCTGTCTAGATTGCAAACTCCTTCATTCTTGGCACTTGCATGGGCCTTTCTCTTGTAATAAATTACTGCCCATATCTTATGCAGTTGTGATTTTTGGTTAACATTGGTGTAATTACAAACAGCACTGAATGTAGAGTTAGGAATCTGTGTTCCAATTTTGACTTACTATCTATGTGACTTTGAACAAGTCACCTCTAGTCTAGGCTCCAGTTCTTCTGTAAAGTAAGAAGGTTAGACCAGGTCAGCTCTAAAATACCTTTGTACTGTAAATCACATGATCTCCTTCCCTTCCTCCTCTTCCCCAAGTACAGAAGCTTTTGCCAAGGAGCAGAAGTCCCTTTCCGCCATTATACTCAAACTCTATTGTTAGTACCACAAAGGGATAGACCTGGGCAGCTAGGGTGAGCAGTGAATAGAGTGCTGGGCCTGGAGTCAGGAAAACTAATATTCCTGAGTTCGAATCTAGCCTCACACACTTTCTATCTGGACAACTCATTTAACTTTGCATCAGTTTCCTCATCTGTAAAATGAACTGAAGAAGGAAATAGCAATCCACTCCTGTATCTTTGCCAAGAAAACCCCAAATGTGGTCACAAAGAGTTGGACACAAGTGAAATGACTGAGCAACAAACAAAAGGGATAGACCTGAGAAGGACTTGGGTTCTATGGAGGAGACAAGGAGATTTTCAATCGAGGCTACCCTGAAGGATGAGGGCTATCCCTGGGCAAAGCTGTGGAAGTCAGCAGTAGAATCATCAATCTGGAATAGATGAACAAATTTGGGGATTTGCTTCAGAACCACTCCTTTCAGGAATCCAGGGCTGCCACCAACCACTTCAACAGAACCCCCACATTCTGCACTTGCCTCTCACACTCCCAGGGTCCTACTTTCTGCTGTAAATGGGTGGTAATGAATTAAATGATGCGACAAAACAAATGCATTTCAAATAAAAACATAATTTAAGTACCTACTATTTGCTTAGCTGTGGAATACAAAAACAGAACTGACATAATCCATAACCTTAAGGGAGGAGATGCTAGTGGTAGGGCCTGACCATGTACATTAAATATGACATGATTTGCATGGGATCTACTGTTACATATGCTGACTAGTGCAATGGAAACACTAATTAGACTTATACTTCTCAATGCATGTAATCAATCTTTAGAGTCAGAATGTGCAAACAGTATGAACATCATCTTCCTAGATCAGAGTAGCAACCTGAGTCATAGCAGTTCTGTTAAGATCCTTGTATACTGGACTCACAAGGTTCCCTCTCTTTCCAACTGAAGGCTGTGTCTCCCTCCTAGGTAGTCATCTGGTAAGTCTCCACCAATCAGTGCTGCCCTTGAATGATCATAAGCTGCTCAAGTCTCCAGTGGGAAGAAGTAAGAAATGCAGGAGCTAGTCCCACTTGTGACCTAGCAACAGGCTAATGGTAATGGTTTCCAACGTGTTTCATGTCATTCTAACTGTGGGTAATCCTAAATTGTTTACCACACAATTTGATTGGTTGTTTATTATATAAACGGTGCAGTTAGGTGGCACAGTGCATAGAGCACTGGGCCTGGAGTCAGGAGGACCTGAGTTCAAATCCAGCATCAGACACTAGCTGTGTGATCCCGGAAAAGTCAGCTTCAGTTTCCTTTCCTATAAAATGAAGATAATAATAGCACCTACATACCAGCATTGTTATGAGGTTCAAATAAGATAACATATACAAAACACTTTGTAAACCATGCTAAGTGACCTTATAATCTTTCTCCCTCCCCAGCTTAAAGGGCTGTAATTAGGAGTATTAGTATTATTAATGACATCGAGCATTAACCAAGCTAAAATTTATTTCAGTAGGAATGTATTGAACATCTACCTCATTCAGAACATTGTACTATGGGAAATAAAAATTAGTATGACCAGATCTTTGCCCCCCAAAAGATCATAGTCCAATTAGAGAAAAAGTACATATCAACATGAAACAAGACAATATAGATTTATAAATATATTTATAAATAAATATGTACATATCAATTATTTATAAGTATATTTATAAATGAACACATGTCAATAATTGTTTATAAATATTTATTAATAATTATTTATAAATAAATATACCTAAATGAGCAGTAACAGAAAGTCAGGAAAGAGTTGTTATCGTAATTGTTGTTTAATTGATTTCAGTGTCCAATTCTTTGGGACCCCTTTTTAGGGTATTCTTGGCAAAGATACTGTAGTGGCTTGCCATTTCCTTCTCCAACTTATTTTTACAGATGAGGAAACTGAGGCAAACAGGGTCTAGTAACTTGCCCAGGGTCACAGAGCTAGGCCAAATTTGAACTCAGGTCTTCTGGACTCCAGTCCCAGTACTCTATCCACTGTGCAATCACACAGATCTTAAGTGTCCCAGAAAATCAGTAAAGGGACCAAGGTCAATTAAAGTCATAATGAAGAAAGAACATAAGCAGGACTTTAAAGGGTGAATAAGATTTGGTTATTCCAGAAGAACTTCAAGGTATGATGTTCATGATGGAAATTTCAGACAACCAATAGGAGGCAGAGTTTTTTTTTTCAAAAGTCCTTTCAGCACCTCTTAAATTATGTCACTACCTCTTTCTAAGACTCACCTGCTTAAGGTGGGGCAGCAGAAAGAAGTCCTAGAATGGAGAAGGATTTCATCTTGTTCATTTCTCTCAAATTCCTCGTCCTATGTCCATTCATGCCTCGCCAAACCCCTACACTGGATTTCTCTCCCCACCCACCTCCTGCACTCTTACTTGGTTGCAGTTGAGTCTAAATTATTCTAGAGAAAGTCATGCAACGTAAGTCCACTACACATTTGTTATCTAATCTCACCAGGTCCTAAATTTCTCTAGGCAGTACTCTTACCAGTCATCTCTTTCTCCCCAATGCCCCCAAACCTTTGTTCCATACTGTGGGGTCCTGATTGGTGAAAGCCATAACAAGGCCACAGTGACCAGTATAAGACCTTATGGGTCTGGATGTCTACCCAACAGCATTGGCCTTGATGCCTGGGTTTCTGGGAATCAAGGCCAGTACTAAGCAATAAATCAAAACATTAGCTAAACCTCAGTGACATATAAAACAAAGCTCTATAGCTCCCCCTCCCTTTGTTTATTCCTATAATTACCATGGGGCTTTTTTGGGGTCTTTGCAGGAATCCAATTTTTCCTCTGTTTGTGTGTGTGTGTGTGTGTGTGTGTGTCTGTGTCTGTGTGTCTGTGTCTGTGTGTGTGTGTGTGTGTGTGTCTGTGTGTCTGTGGGGGGGTGATGTGGGGGAGTGGGGGGTGGGGGTGGGGATGGGTCTGTGGGTGGTGGTGGGTAGATGTGTATAAGTATCCACATGATTATTAAATTTCCTATATAATCATTCCGGAGCTCCCAACCTCTTTCCTCTGCATTAAACTCACCCTACTGTTTTAGGGAGGTACAGAGTTCCAAAGCCAGGGGAATTCTGGACCTTACAATTGATATAGTCGGAAGGATTCCGAAAGGGAGTAGGGGCTCAGCAAGGGGAAATCCCTGGATGGCCTTTGACCTTCATATGGGGTGGAATGGCCCATGTGCTGGACACATATAGGCCACCACATGATAACAGGGACGCCCTGAAAATTTGGAAAGGCCTAGAGACCCTCCTGGTGGAACTTTGGTCCATCAAGCTGGGTAAGGAAGGGAAAAGGGTGATGGTTGTTATGAGATGGCTCTTTCTCACAGCATTGAAGGAAGCCACCACGAGGTGGCCTTGACCTGGAAAGAGAAAACCAGAGAATAATGAAGTATGTAGAAACATACTTGCCAGTTAGTCAGGTTGAAGGGAGTCAAGCATGTGGACAAGAAGACAATAAGGCAATAAGGCAATAAGGCAGGGGACTCCTGGGAAGACAGCAATACTGGGGAGAATTCAGAGGATGGTATAGAAGATAGAGTTT